CCACTGGACAGTTGGTAAAGACTATATATTGCTCAAAGAAAAGTTCAAAGGAAAACTTACTTATCCTATACAAAATTCACTTTCTTTCATCGAGACATCGTTTTCCTCTTTCATTTGGGGGATTGTTAGTGTAGGTGAAAGAGAAAGAAGTGAAAGACTGGTGAATTGTCCCACGTGGAAAACTCATTGTTTTCACCCTTCCATATATTGTTTTGCAACACAAGAATAAATATGAAATTGGGTTTGGATTGGACATGGCTTGGTTTGGGCTTAGCCTAGATTGGGTTTGGCTTAAATTTGACTATATTAAATGTCAAGATTTGAGTCTTGGGCCGTGGGGCTCATGGGCCAAGCCCAAATTGCTTAAAGTCCAATTATTTTAATTTTGTATTTATCTGATTAATTTATTTTTATTTGAAAAATTCAAATAATCAAAGAAACATTACGGTTGCAACTGACTTGCAAGGTGGAGAAGTGGGTGCAATGTTGACTTCTTCCCTTTTACAAAAAAATTAAATAAAATAATTCCCAAAACCATGAAAAATATGTAATATATATATATATATTTCCACTCATTCGTTTTAAGTAACACGAAAGAAAACAACCTTCTCTTAAGAGAAAAGCTCTCAAATTTTCTGCAAAATCTTCCATTCCAAAAGTTTATTAATTCGGTTCGCAGAATCTATTATTTCGTAAATTATTCGTTCTATCCTGGGACACGATCGGTGGAGGGCCGAAATTTGTTTCAAGGAGATCGCGTCCCACGCGAGACTCGTATTTATGTGAATCTGATATTCGAAACTATTATCAAATTTGGTGATTTGATTTTATCGCCACATCTCAGATTCGTTATTAAGTATCCAACATATATCACGCAAACTTAACAAGAAGAACACAGTTCGACCAAATATCTGCAAGAAATTTACTTACAAAACAATAAATTAACCATTCTTTTACATTGAGAGAAAAAATAGGCGTAGCTCCATAAAGTGCCTCCATAAGAACTTGAAACGTAATTAGATACACAAAAACATATATTACATACCTCTACACTTGCTGCAGGAGAAGGAGAGGGAGAAGGAGAGTGAGAGAGTTCCGACAGTCCAGAACGAGAAATACGACTTCGGGATATGGGGAGAGGTAGAGAAAGGGAGGAATTTGTTGACCAAAAGAGAAATAGTATGGGTCTGCTGCTGAATATATATAATTTTTGTAATTATATTATTAAATAATATAATTATGGTAAATAGATACACATGAACATATATATACATTCATACCTTTCGACACTTCCTGCAAACCTTCCTTAGGCAAACTGTCGAGTAAGACCAAGAGAGTGAGAGGCAGGAAGTCTAGAACAGTCTTTTCGATGATTCTCCAAAAATTGACCAAACAAGAAACACTGTGCTTATACTGTTAAATAAACACTGTGCTTATTATTATTTTTTTTTTGTGTATGGGTCAATATTTTTTTTACCAAAAAATTTATATTATTTAAAATAATTTTTGTAAAAAATTTATTATGAAACTTGGCAGAAAATAAAGCAATTTGTTGATTTTACAATCAGTTTTTTCTCCATTTATAATTAGAAAAAAAAAAAAAAAACAAAACTATCCTTGAGATTGATTTATTCTTTTTTCAACAAATCTACTCTAAAAAATGGTGATCACAGCCCTTACTATAAAACCATTTGGAAGGAAATGGGGAGTGTTCGGAGATTATAAATAAACCCACCTCATTGCTTCAAAGATTCAATTTCGGAATAAGGAAATGTTATTTTGTCATTATTCCCAGCACCTCCTTTTTTCATAGTTTTTTTATAGAAAAAGATTCATTGGCATACTCAATGCACTCCTTTGGATTCATGATTTCTTTTGACGGAATATCAAGTAGGCCTTAGTACATTGTGTGTTCCCTCAGAATCCTCAGATACATACTTACAACTCGAAACTATATGCATTGTATTCAACAATGTATAAATACTTCAGCACATTATTTATTTAGTTGTGAAACTTCTGATCGTCCATAAAAATTGGTAATGACTACTTGTAGTTATATATAAAATTGTTTGCAAAGCCGATAAAAATATGTAATTCGAATTAAAATTTATAAAACAAAAATAAAACATGAAAGAAAAGTAGAAAAATAGACGAATTGTTCTGTTGTGCATCTCTGTGTTGTGTTTTTTCCCTAACTTTAATCCTAAGCTAGAATAACCACCTCTCCTACTAAAGGGGCGGTTACAATTATTCCTCCACCACTCTCAACCACTTGGTAACTTCCCACTACTACCTCCAACTTCCTGGTAACTTCCCACTACTACCTCAAACTTCCTAGTCACCTTCCACTACTACCTCCAACTTCCTAGTCACCTCCTTCCACTACCTCCTAACCACCTCGTAACCCCCTTCCATCAGCTCCCTGGTAACCTCCTTCCATAAGCTCCTAACCACCTGGTAACCTCCTTCCATCAGTTCTCAGTCGCTTCCATTGCCTCTGGACCGGGTTCCACTTGCTCTGAACTTCTTCCATTGCCTCTGGACCAGATATATTGTTTACTCCGACTTGTTTTCATCGTACTCCTAGCCGGTCCACGGGGATGTATCCCCAACAGCCTCGAGTTAAATGTAATCTTTGGTTTTCCTTTTGCTGGTTTGTTCCATGGAGCTTTTTGAATAAAGCATGAGAGTGCATAGGTCCTCCACTAATGTTAAGTACGAAATTATTGACCTAGGGCCAACGGAGGTAGTTATCCCATAATCTGTGGAAGCTGTTGCTTTCTATCTTGTGGAGTCAACCTTCCTCTGCTTTGTGGAAGCACCGCAGTCCAATGGAAATAGTTGTTTTCAGCCCAATAGAGATAACACTTTCTGACCTTATGGAAACATTGTTCCGGGATGGAGTCGCCATAGTCCAAGGAGTTGTTGTCCTAAGGTCCATGGAGGCTGCTGTTTTCGGCCCTGTGGAAGCACCACAATCCAATGGAAACTGTTGACTTCGGTTCTGTGGAAGCAGCAGTCTTTGGCTCCGAGGTTTGAAGCTCCATTGCTGTTGAGCGGCTCCGTGACCAATGAGCTCTGGCACCACTTTTGTCTTTGAGCCTCCTTCTCGTTCAGGTACTTTTGGACCCATGTCCAACACTTACCTTAATACTTCTGGGAATATTCTCAATCTCTGATGCCCAAAGACTAGATCAATTCTCTTTTCTTCGGCTTGTGGATGATCTTTTCAAATATACCTTTTGTCTTTTCATGCTGGACCATCTCTTCAAGAATCATGCCCTCAATCTCCAGCCTCTAATAAACTTGATTACCAACTAGTAGACAAAGAGATCTTATGTAGCAAAGATTCTATTCAATGGGAACTTTAATAAAATTAAACCCCTGCATTTAAATAATTCACAATAATGGACAAGTGCAGATGTTGGGATCATATCTAACGTATCAATCAATAGTGTAAGTATCCTTAGGATAAAAATCGAATTTGACAACATTTTTTTCTATTTTGGTCCGAAACTTGACAAAAATAATGAAATTGGGTCGATATTAACACTAAATCTTCTGCAGGTGTTTTTTTTTGTTTTCGAATTTATTTTTAACTTTATTATTTTTGTAAAGGCCATGAATTTTATAGTTAAACAATAACTGGTTTTGTGTGTGTGTGTGTGTGCATGGGGAGATCATTTTTTACCAAATAAAAAATATATATAATTAGATATTATTTTGAATATTTGATGTGAAGAATTATGATCAAACTTATTATTGCTTAATATTTATTGTGAAATTTGTAAATTTTGTTAAAAGTCAGAAAATTATAACCAATTTTAATATGTACTTAAATTGAATAATCATAAATTCAAATCTATACATCATATGATTACATTTTCTTTTATTACAACAAATTTCTTATTATTTTATTTATAAATAAAATTTATATAAAAACGAATAAAGTGAGACCAATTAAATGATACATAATTAGTATGTATTATTCAAATTAAATACATCATATATTGAAATGTATAAGCAATGATGCAATCCATATTTAGGACTGTTGTATGCTTTGAAGGCTGGCACTTTGGGGCTCTAGGCCTCTGCTTCTTCCCTACCATTTCGGCCTTCATTCGGTCTATAGCCCAGGAGATTATTGGCATATCTTTGGGCTGGAGCCAAGGTTATATTTCGGTCAAAGTTAAAAAAAGGAAGAAGGTGAGTAAACATAAATTCCATCGTTTGCGCTACGGCCATTTGGCTGATGACAGCCGTGGAGGGAAGGGGAATCTGCCTCAAAACATCAAAAACTGCTGAAGGTTGGTGCCTAAGTATTAGTCTGCCCCTTTCACTACAAAAAAAATAGCTATTTCACTACAAAAAAAATAGTATATTTGTAACGGAATTTCGTTTCTAAAGTTCACGTAGCTAACGTAATTCCATCTCTAATTCCGTCTCTAAATATCTTTAGTAACGGAAAAAATGAATTTAGGAACGAAAAAACTTCGTTACAAAATTGATAATTTCTTGTAGTGTTTGTAGCCGTTACAAAACCTCTACAAATGGCCATTGTTATAAAAAGCTATTTGTAACGATTTTGTACCGGATTTTGACCGGTGCAATACTCGAGCTACAAAAAGTCTCTGTACCAACTTTTTTCGTTACAAAAAGTGGACGGTACACACTTCTTAATCACTTATTGTAACGGTTTTTGTAATGCGAACTTTGAATTTTCGATGAATTTGTAACGGTTTTTGTAATGCGAACTTTGAATTTCTGATGAATTTGTAACGGATATTTCTCGTAATAAAAGAACCGTTACATTAAAGGTTCATCTATTTGTAACGGCACTTGTTACGGTATAATTTTTGTTACAATAGCTTATTGTCAAAAAACTATTTAAAACAACATTAAAACTTTTTGTAACGGTATTTGTAACGACCACAACTTCGTAACAAAAAAATATTTTTAATCTTTCAATAAAAACATGTACGATACGAAAAACACTCCCAAACGACATTACAAAATATAAAAATATTACATAAAATATCTATTGCACTATGTACGCACTGTCTAGGAACATAACTACTTCGCAATTCGGCGTAACATATACGACAAAGCATAAAAACAAACATACAAAAGAAAGTAGAAAATGCAAGTTCAAACAACGGAAACAAGGTCAGCATCATTCCACAAACAAAAGTTAATCATCATGGAATCATGTGTCACACTGCCACGCCCCATGCAGCGACAAATTGAGCGTACACGGCAGTTGCGGACGACGAACAAGCTGCAAACATAGTGCAAAAGTATATAAGAATTTAGTCGAGATGGAGCCTATCTTGATGACACAAATGTAAAAACAACAAAATATAGAACAACATAAATAAAATTATAGCATGGACCTTATCTTGATAACACCCGGAGCAACATCCATACAACGACACAATTATAGAACAACCAACATACATGACAGTTACGGGCGATAAGTGAGCTGCCAAATTACATAAGAATTTACTTGCGAGATGGTTAAGTTATAATCTAATAGAAAGTCTTATAAATATGATTACGTACATCTTTGAATATCCAGTCGATTGGCTCGACACGGACAACCTCACCGAGTATTTGTACTCTAGGTATCGTCTGTAAAATGAGCGCAGCCTCCGGAACGGTAGCAGCCATGACAAAAAACCTTCACTATGTCAATGGTATCACCTACGGAAATATAAAGGAAACATGCGCATATCATCGAAAATAAAAAGCAACTCACAAAATATTTAATCACTATAAAATATTAAAGAAATTAACTCAAACATTTTAGCATATGTAAAATTGTAAAATATAGCATAACATAAATATAATTATGGCATATACCCTATCTTGATGACACCTGGACCAACATCCGTACAACATCACAATTATAAAACAACAAGCAGTATAATCAATTTATTTGATACTTATGAAAGTTGTTTGTTTAAACAACCAACTTAAACATGTATCGATTCAACAACCAAATTTTCATCTTCAAGTTCTTTCGGAATAAAATAGAATAAAAAGAAATATCTACAGGTTTTAGGAAAAGGTGGCAGGATGAAATGCACAAATAAGTCTATTATTTTACCCGTGAATTTCCACCCTCATATAAATAAATGATTTTTACTGATTCCATCTTCTGCGATAAAATGAAATATGAAACATGGAGCAGGGCTAATCTATGACTTATATTACAAATTTACAACATATCAAAACATAACTAATCTAACTAAATTAAAGTAAAGCAGACCAATTAGAGACAAAACAAACTTTATGACACATTATATACAAACAAAACTGAACCTAAACAACTTATTATCTAAGGCTAAAAACAATACTAGAACACCTAAATAAAAATACAAGATTGGAAGAATCTAATTTCTTAAGCTAATTAATTCTAATGGATCACTAAGTTAATATCTAAGTAACACATTCTACTAAAGTTAATTCTTAAATCTTACACAAACAAACAAACATGAAACAAACTAAATATTCTATCTATATAGCAATCAAACTCCCTTGATTATGTGGGTCCTGCAGCCCAACTTTTTAAACCACTTTAACCATTAAACAAATTGAAAAAAATATTATGCAAGCAAAGCTCATAATAAAGAATAATTATTTATATTAAATGAAAGCTAAACATATACAATTTTTCTCTGATAGATCAATAAAAAATTATTCATAATGCATTTATTGTTATCAGAGAAAAAAAAAACTATTAGAGAATATATGACAAATTCATGGAAAATACCTCCTAAGAGTGCGATTGCGAGATATTGTTCATGGTGCCTACAATAAACTAAATGAACCAATTACTCCACCTATATCCAATATTCCTTTTGCTGTAAAATTAAATTGGATGCTGCAATCTATAATTAAGGTTTCACTATCAAATAATGATTCCACAAACTTGAGTACAAATGAAAGGGGCCATTTTGCATGTGCAGTCGCACAATCACGCAGACTATATTACATTATCTACAATTGGTGTAGGTAGCAATATTATTATTACTTGTTTCAGGACTTGTCATTTTTGTCCTATTTGTTCACACATTTTGACAAACTTTCAACTTCTTAGTTCACTAAATGAAATCAATTTAACAGATACACAAATCTTACTTACGTGCAATTAAGATAATGCTAAAACAGCTCTGTAAGTTTTTCTTAAGTGAAAAATATCATGTTCTGAGACAAATTTTTAAGTAGGGTTAAATTGGTTAACGAAGCAAACTAAAACAAGCATCAATTCATGTGTAAGCTCAATAATTTCAACAGAAAAATAATTAGCATACTAGTCGGCCTAGAAATTACACACAAAAGACAAGTGTCAAGCTCAATACTTTCAATGCAATGTTGATCAATATGTGAAAAACTAAAACTTGTAAGCTATGAATAACCTTTTTAGTGTAAGATGTTAAACTTGAGTATTCACCGGCATAGAACTACATATCCACCAATTCAAATAGATTCCGTAGCAAACAGTGCAGTTTCAAGCAACCAAAGCAGTTTCAGAGCTCTAGTTTATGAAACTTTCGGAGTGTTGATCATAACATAATAATAATAAAAAAAAAAAAAAAAAAAAGCAGAGAGCAGCAGAGAATTGATTTAAATTAAGATCTAAAAAAGTCAGACATATGATCAACTTCATGGATCTCCAATTTCAGCTGTCGAGGAGAATCGTAGTATCAAACCATGAGATCTGTTTCATTATTTGTAACTTTTAAGTTTCTTTTTTACTCATAATATAGTTTAAATCAATTTGGATTCAACATAAGATTCAATTATCTATTCCAAAAAACAAAACAAAAAATCGGAATTGGCTAGATAATTATTTCAAGAACATCAAGAAATTCTTAAGCTCTAGTAAAAACACTTTCTGATTTTCAAAGTACTCAATTTTAGGCAATATCGATTTAGACTAAAAATTAACTAGAAATAGTAAAGGTTAATAACAACAACAAAAAAATCGATTTACTCAGTTCCATAAAGAACTCGAATAAAACAAAACTCAGCTCGAACGCACAGAAGCAAAACAATTAGATCAATAAACATGTCGATTTTCACTAAAGCAACACCGGAAGAACTAAAATTTTCCAAAGAATTACCCGGACAACTGATTGTTAGAAAATAACAACAACAGAAGTAGATTTTTACTGACCAGAAAATATTATAAAAAACACTTACCAGAATCCAGACTGTGGTTGAGCACCAGTCGTCGCCAGTGCGCTCGAGAGGAGAGAATCACAGACGTGCTGGTTTGAATTGGGGGATGAGTCCCGTCACCCAGAAAGAGAGAATCGCAGCATACCGCTATTGGAATTGAAGGACAATGGGTTAGGGCAGGCTTGCGAAAAATTAAAAAAAAAAAAAAAAAAAAAAAAAAAAAAAAAAAGAAAAACTAAAGAACCATCCAAGTTTAATTCCTTTTGGAATTCCTTTCGTATTTGCGAAGGAAAAAATTGTCTTCCCAAAAATCCGTACTAATTTTGTAGTGAAGAAAAACAAATAAAACGAAAGATAGACGAGAATTGGGGCGACGGGTGGCGCTCAAGGGTTTGTTTTACAATGTTTGAAATTTTATTTTTAGTTTTAATTTTTAATTATATATAATAATTTTAATTTTAAATAAATAATTATTTTAATTTCAACATGTATATATTAATATATAAGTATTATATATGTATATATATATATGATATATGATATATTATTTTAGATTTAGTTTGAAATTAAAATTATTGTAATTGTAACAAAAAAAAATACCGCAACAAAAGAAAAATGTTGACCAAATCGAAAAATTCATTTGTTACGAAAATATCCGAAACAAAAAATAGTTTTTGTAAAGCAAAAATTGTAGCGGGTCAAATTTTGCTACAAATAGCCATTTGTTTTGTAGTGGTCGAAGGCCGGTTCGAGGGACTGGCCGCGGATGCTCACCCGAAGCAGGCTGCAACAATTAACCAATATATAGTGGTAAGTGATGCCCAATTTTTTTGGGTTGAATAAGATTGATCCCTATTGTTCTCTGTGCACATTTACATGCAGTATTACAAAGGCAAAGGATGTTTAAGTAACCAATGATAGTATAAACTATTCCTTGGGTCTCTTTGCACCATCCCCAAGAGTTCGATCTTCAGAAACCCTCCAACACATAGAACTGGTTCAGGCAGTGTAAATGTTTGCTTGAGGAGACTCTGGCCATATGCAATTCATATTAGAGAAAATGTAAGTTATTATTTTCAACCAAAATTCATTTGGAATTAGGAAAACTGCTAGTGCATAACCTGTTCCATGGGGAATTGGGGCGATGTATAACCCCAGACGAAGTGGTTGGACTGACATAGCGGAGAATATATATTGTCTATTACCATAATGCCCGGAAAGAAAATGCAATTAGGATAGAAGAACTCAGTTAGGATTCCCAACATAAAATAGGATGAACATAAATGTGTCGAGACAATGGAAAGTATAATATACCAGGAGAAGGTTGGATTTGAATGTCTGATACAATGCAAACTCCGCCATTGAGTTTGAAAAGTATGGTCTCAGACACATTAGCGTCCGTGTGCCCTTTGCTAGACCAATACATTTTGTTTGGAAGGAGTGTATGAATGATGCTCTTTCCTATATAATGGCTTGTAGAAGAAGCTCCGATGACAAACCCAATGCAATTCTTTGGATTAATCATACTTGCTTTTGACAGAATAGCAAGGAGGCTTGAGTACAGTTTGTGTTCCTTCCGAAGATCATTGAATCTTGGAAGATGGTGCTTCTTCCTCTGGTTCATAATTGCGTCGCAGTAGCTTGTATTCTTGAGCATTGGAGCTCTCCTTAGACAAGCTGTTTTTGCAATGCCATTTTGGACAACTGAAAAAATAAAACACGTGTGTAAAAATTGATAAGAGTAATTTCCGTAGCTAACATAATGATAAGCTGTGTATACTAGTTTACACATTTCATTATGCTTGAATATAATAATAATAAAAATAAAAATTCAGCAATAGACTTCAAAGGAAAGATAAAATAAAGAATGAAAACAAAAATTTAATATGTATGTATCCAACGGTGTTGAATTGCAATTAGGTTGTGTTCTTTTGACAAACTTTACAAAAATTTACTAATACTCAAAATTTATTTTTTATATATTCTTCTAAAAATTAAATTTATATTCAAAATATTATGTCAATATCTATTCATATTACATCATATATTTATTTAAATTAAATTTATAAACATTCAAATCCTAAACCAAAATCTCTATATGCATTGATACGACAGTAGATTGTTCCATATCAATTGTTGTGAAGGTTTTAGATATTAGAAATGCTATCATACTGTCTATGAAACTAGTAAAATGCCTATAAGCAATAAATTTTGGACATATCTAAACAATATTATTTATTTATTTTATAACGTGAGAACATGCAGCCGCTACCTTTCGGGTGTGCTTTGGGTAAACCCCCGGCCGAATATAAAAGCCTGCAAACTTGGCCCGACAAGACAAGTCGCACTAGGCGAATCATGCGTGGCAGTCACTACATAGAAGCATCGGGGTTTGATAAACAATAGTAATTTTGATTGTGTTATATATCATTTATTTGAGTATTCGTGACAACCATGCTTGCTCTTTTTTTTTAGTTTTTTTTATTATATTCTTAATCATGTAACATTCATCTCAAGAATTAATAATAGCATTGTAGAAACATTGAGTAGGTGTTCATAAAAAAATAATAATAATAAAAACAATTTAAAAGTTAAGTAGGTTATCACTTCACCCTACATGATAATTACATAAATGCAACATGTCAAAATTAAGTGCTTGGTTGATGAAATCAATATAAAAAATCTTGATTCCCAGCTACCCGACAAGAAGATCGTATGTAACATATAATGACCAAGTGTCTTTGTTGAGTCTATTTGGCAGAAACTTCAATAACAATGAATGTGTGCATTTAAATTACTCACCAAAATAGTATCGGGTACGAGTAACAGCTGACATTCAGATCATGTCAACGGGATCAATCAATAGCGTGACGATTGTAATAATGATCTCCAATGATAGATAATCTAGAGAAAGTCTGCCATTGTAATAATATATTCACCGCAAAAGTAGTCAATGTCAAAATCTTGTAAGATAGATTGAAATGACTATTGGATAATTTGAACTAAAAATTCTAAGAAATCAATAGCATGACACATGATATATAAGTAAAAGAGATCGAAAACAATGACAAAGGGCTGCCATTCAGACCATAATAGAACTATAAGTGTAAATAGATGTCAGATGTTTAAAAGAATGGCAAATTTCATATAACAAGGGACTTTTTTTTTTTTTTTTTTAGGAAATAATATAAAGCAGAGGAGAAAGAGTTTTGGTTTAAACAAATAAAAAAAAAAAAAGTCATCTACATAAACCCTGATTTTAGTTTGGAGAATCTAGAAATCAAAGAAACAGACACAGATCTCTAGTACTTGCTTAGATTAATTAATCAAATCAAACAAGAAGAAACAAGGGCTACAAAAACTCTGCAACAAATTAAGCTAGAAATGGAAGATGTTAATCATGTATTCATATTTAGAGAAATGGAGTCGAAGCTCCATAAAAGTGCCACAATAACAACTTGGAAAGTAATTAGATACGAAAAAACATATAAATACATACCTTACGCCTAATGAAGGAAGAGGTGAGGGAGAGGGAGAGAGAGACTTCTGACAGTCGAACGAGAAGCTGCGATTTGGATATTTGGAGAGAGAGCGAGCCAGAGAGAGAGAGAGAGATTAGTTGACGGAAAGAGAAAGTTAGGGATTTGAATAGTAATGGTATCAGTAAGAAATATTAAATTTTCAAGTGTTTTTTACTTTGGATTTATTTATAATTATTTTTAAAGCCCATTAACATTATTACAATGAATATGATATGTCTAAATCAAATTAGGATTGAGATATTGTTTATCATCTGTTGTATATTTATTTCTAAATTAAGAATAAGAAGAAAAGAAAAAAAAGAAAACCATTGTTTTGCTTTTGGCAATTTAGAGGTCTTTATTGTTTTTGTTATTTCGTAAATTTATTTTCCATTGTGTATTATAATCGAATTAAAATTTGATGAAATCTTAAAAATCAGTTTACTAGGAAAGAAAGGAAGACTCACAATTATAGTAAATATTATTTTACTAGTAATAGTATGAGTTGTTGATTGAGTCTCTTTGCAAGAGTGAGAAACCCTCCTCCAATGCATAGAATTGGTCCAGGCAGAGTAAAGTTTCGCAAATTGTAGCTCTGTACATATGCCAATTGATATCATAGCAAAAGCAAATTATATCTCAATGAAAATTAATAAAGAATTAGGACCACGGATGTAACAGAGATGGACACAATCTTTTTAAAAGAAACAAAATTGACCTGTTCCATGGGAAACCGTTGCCATGGTGTTATTGATACTTGAGATGGAATAAAATTATGTCGCCAATTAGGGACAAAAATATATTCCGTCTCCAATTAGCGACCAAATTTGAGATGGAATAAAATGACGTAACAAATCTAAATTCCGAGGTGCTCCAGGCGACGGCGGCAGCTTCTTGGTGGGCGACCGGGATAGCTACTGGATATATTTTCTTCCTTCAACGATTATATTTCTTTAAGTTTGGCAACATGTTAAAGTAATATATGTATACAAAACCATTAGTACGAACATTGTTGGAAAATAATAGAATTGTGGAATATTATTAAGAGGTCAACTCCTAGTCTAATGTAAGGGGAAATATGAAACCATAAAGGATTTGCACAACTATGAACTGAGCGATTGCTCCATGTTATAACGAGTGAGTGCGTCTAAGATAGTATTGACTTATGGCTGTTCAAGTGCCGATTAAAAACCAAAATAATACACAAAGTTTGTTGGCCAAGTTCCGAATCAAACGTATATACGGGGGATTCCATTCCAAAAAGTATTAACCACAAAACCTATCATCAGATTTACTATTTCCAAGTTTAAATGATTAAAACATCAACAAACACAAAGTTACACTACTCTCTTCTACATTCTTTCTTGCAACACATTGCATAGGAAGTTGATCCTCATACCGCAGCACTAACACCAGTAAATAACACCAGTAAAGTATCTATCTAGTCGAGTGTAGGCGACATTAGGTTCAGTTTCTCTCAACCGGTTGGAACACTAATATCTCCTTTGTTGAGTAAGGTTTCTAAAGACCATAGGTTTTTTTTTTTATAATCTTCACAATAGAAAGTATGGGAAATCTTGATCTCAGAGAAGCCACATTAATTTCCGTCATCAACTCACCCTTTTGCACCACAAACTATGTGACAT